GTAAAGAAAAACCTTGAAAGATAATTAATTATTATCCTTAATCCGGCAAGGTCTTTTGTTGCAGCCCTAGTAACAAATAATCTAGACTTATAATTAATTATTAATTGAACCATCAAACGTTCAGATATATTAAGCTAAGACAGATAGCATCAAATAAAAAAACCTCAAAGCTAGAATTGTTGAATATACTATCTCTATATACTATGCTCTGAAAGAGTGAACAAATAACGATTTGGTGTATTTTATTCTCTTGTTGTTAGAATAATTTTACTTTGAGGTAAAACAAAACACTATGCTCTGAAAGAGTAAAAAACAACGATTTGGTGTATTTTATTCTTTTGTTGTTAGAATAATTTAATTTTTAGGTAAAACACTAGGACATAACAATGAAATTGTACAACTAATAATTACTGTACGGTAGAAAGAGATTAAGTGTCTTAAACAAAGCAGACCGGTGTTTATAATATTATTTGCTTTAAAACATATTTTAGTGTTTTTTTTTTCAAAGAGAAATAAGTGCCTTTAAAATATTTTGATGAAAAAAGTTGAAACTATACTGATGACCTTAGCTGATGGTACAATTTATGCCCCATTTCTTAATTATGTTTATTCAAGTAGTGATTTATCTAAGTGAAATATATTCTTTTATCTTAAATTGGAATAATTCCAGTCCATCAAGTTTCTACAGCATACGATTATGATAGTGTTTAGTTATGCAACCAATATGTACAAACCTGACACCCGTTTTATGATTGCAAACTGTTGACTAAGGTTAACATAATTGGTTCTTTAATTTATTAAATAAATCTTTCTTCACGGCCTTATTATGCGTCTTATTCAGTCACAGCGCTAGTTATAGGTGATTTAACAAAATGGAGCTTATATACAGCAATCTTTGGTTACATCTTTGTAATCTAGGAATGAGACTAAAAGTTTCTACCGTGTTTTAAATTTTATTTTATAACCGAATTTATTTTAATTAAAGGTTCATGCAATCCCATACTAATGTAGGTATTTTCCTACACTATGTAATAAATTATTTGAATTTAAGATGGATTGAAGTTTGTGGAATAAAAATAAAACAATGAATTGTCCATAAATGGGATACTGTATATACTATGGCAGTTTGAACGTCTATAACTGACTGATTCATTGACTGATTAAGTGAGCTTGTTTAGTGATTAAGGATAGTAGAAAGTATTTTAAATTTTCAATTGAAATTGTTCAACATGGTATATTTCTGTACTTTAGATAAAGTTTTCTAAATTAAAAACATTTATTATGTACGGTTATTAAAGTGAACAAACGGTTGATGATTCAAAGAAAACATTTTAATACACCTTTATAAATACATAGATTGCAATGAAAACTACATGTTTTCATTAATTACAGCTACACAAAGTATGGAAGATGACATGGGCACTTTCAATGGCTGTAGGGCGGAAACTGAATTTTTTCCAGCCTTGTGACCAAGTTCAATTTATTTCTCGTGGCCAAACACCCCATAAAGTTTATAAATTAAAAGTAGTTTGCTAAGCATTTGTATCCAAACAGGATAACCTAATTTAAAGTTAAAGTTAATAGAGCTAATTAATTTTTAAATGAAATAATAAAAATTTAATTTCCAAATCTCTATATCTAACAAGTGCCAACTGTTATACAAAATTTGAAATTTAAATATCATTCTTAGCTTGAAACGCTCACGTAAAGTTGGTTGGAGTCGCAATCTTTCAGCAGCAAATCTTCAAGATTAATTTCTCTTTTACCGCAATTAGGCTTATATTGTTGCATCTCTAAGCAGGTTGTATTCAGCATGCTATTCCACGCGCACAGTCCAATGTTTCCTCAGCAATTCATCATGCTTCAGAATCAAATTAAAAGTGTTCACCATGTTCAAGATATTCGCCCCACGTTCGTCGAAATTAAGGTATTCAGGACTTGTGTTTCGGGAAAATTTAATTTCTTGGTCCCAATTTGTACCTTTTTGAATGTTAGAGTTTCGTGGTGTAGTAATAAAAATTACTAAAAATAAATTGCTACTGTTTGCTAGCAAGGCAGACTATTTGGTACTATATAATTGAACTGGATAATGTAGTGTAGGGTTCGATGCTTTGCGATGAAAATAAGTGTTCCGCTTAATGGGACTTAAATTATTGAATGAAAACAAGCTTGTAATTTAAGGAAAAATTTTTAACTTGATACATTCTTTGCAAAAACGAACTTTAAAATAACATTTCTCTTGTAAAATGTATAGAGAGTCATTACGCATGTTACAACACTAGTCACAAGGCATATCAATAAGAATATATCACTATGACTTTTTCTGAATAGGTCTACAACTGTTTAACAAAGGAACACAAAATTACAACTTGGTGTAAAATTGAGCACCTTACATAATTTGTTTATATTAGTAACGTGTCGAAAAATAAGAAGGAAAAGTCAAATTCTTGTATTTTAATTGCTAACTATGTAAAAAGTGTATTCACCTATGTTTAATTTGCTTAAATATAGCTACAACCGGTCTTTATTGATTAGATGTACAGTAATATTTTATGGTAAATGTTAGAAGCAAGCACAAACCAAGTATTTATTTAAAATGAAAGTATTGATAATAGCAAAATACATAACCACACCTTCCGTTTTACTTTATACAGTGAAAATGAAGTATACAATATTGAACTATTTGTTCCTATACACCCTTTTTTTAAAAGATTATTTTTTATAAGAAAATCCAAAAATTTTCACCTGCAGCACAGTAAGTGCTCGGGATGCAATCAGGCGATGCCTACAAAGACTCGTTTAATGCCTCAACGGAGGATGGAATTAAAATCTGCTCAACAACACAGCACTACAGACCACTCCAATATAAGCCCTACTTCCCTCCAAACTGAGAGGGCAGTGTTAATGAGAGTGAAAATTGGAATGATTTGTAATGTAGGAATAGGTGTATAAAGCTACGCAAATTATAAATGTGTTTTTTTTTTGTGTATTAGACGTAAATGTCACTATATAACTGATACGTAATGTTTTAACTAACGTACAGTAGATCATGCTCAGATCAACACATGTTAATTTTTATTTTCTAGTTATGCTTTAATGGAAATTCGTAACTTGTACTGTATTAGTTTAAGAGGTACAGTTATTGCATTCAATTTAGCTCATCTCCATATTGTTTTGAAATATTTTTAGGTTATACTTATTTTACTTAGCCTTAATTAAAATCCAAGTTTAATAATGTCACATAAGCTGTCATATCCATAAATAATTAAATTTAAATTCCAACAAATTACTTATAGGCCCAAAAATGGATTTTGTACAAAATAAGCCTAATGATATTATGTGGGATAAAAATTGCTTTTTCATCCCGTACTTTGTACAAAATAAACAATACAGCTTACATAAAATGTGTTAATATTTATTTGTTGTATAAACAAGAGAAAAATAGGTTGTCAGACAGGCTGCTATCTTGTATGTACAAAATGTGTGGCGAGTTGAATAAATAAACTGGTTGTTTATCATCACTGGGTAATAACTTGGTTTCGAAATCCCAAGGTATTTAACAATTTCAAAGTTCACTAAATTAATGGTTTTTCATAGGGAAAATAATGCATTATATCGATTTGCATACACAGGGCTTTTTATTTAAGAAAAATAAGATTGTAAAGTTTAAACAATAAGTGTTGTTTTAACTTTTTGTAAAATATTGTTTAAAGAGTTCCCAATCACATATAATAGTTTACAAAAGGAGAGAAAAAATCTTGATCGTAAACTATATTTTAATAGGCTAATTTACCTTAATTTTATGCAGGAATGTTCACGTCAAAAACTGTTGTGTTAAGATACATTATTTCCCAGTAATGTTTAACATTATTAATCGTTAGTCGATATTGGATACCTATAATCGTTCATTGCTTTTCATCTATGTATTTTAATCAATTAAATATCGTAAAATACAGGATGGGCATAAATTATTAAACACATTTTAAGATTATATAAACAAATAACCAAGCCACTTAGAAACATGAAAATTGTTCATTGAATAGCAAATTAAAAATAGTTATATACAGCAACTGCAAAACAATAATTGTATAAATGTCAGTAATTATAAAAACATTTGATAAAAAGAATGCAAAAATTACTCGAACAGTGAGTGTAGGCTATGTTTTTTTTTTCTCAGACTCGTGTTGTGGCATAGTTAGCATGGCAAAACCAACAATAGACTTTTCTACAGCAGCTGTGTGTTTGGTGAATCAAACCTTAAACTGACTTAAGTAACAAAATTACTAGTGTGCAAAAAAAGCAAAGTCTTTGGTTTCATGAAAGCAAATCTGTAATAACTGTTCAAAGAAGGCTTCGTTTAGAGTATGGTAGTAATTCTCCGTGTAAAAATTCTATAAAATGGTGGTACAGACAGTTCGAACGACTGGGAAGTGTCCAACATATAGTCTAAGGGTCCTCATCTCAGAAGAACATAACTTACAATAACAGTTTAGGTGATTTTACAGTTTTTTATAACTACTTTTCATAATTGCTGACATTTTTATAAGTAATTTTTTGCAATTAATGTCTAAAACTGTTTTAAATTTGCTATTTTATAAAACAATTCCCATGTTTTTATCTTACTTGATTATTTATTCATTTTGTGTACAATAATTTATGACCACCCTGTATAATAAGACTTTCCCTAAAAGCTAACGCTCTTTTGTGCTCTCATAACTCCGATATTCATGTCGAAATAGCCTGACTATTAGGCATTTCAGCCAAGAAACTTTATACATTTTCACCTCCACTAAAGGTTCAAGGTTCAATTAGAGGAAGTGTCTGATACGGCTATAGACTAATCGGCCTAAATTCTCATCTCCGGTTATTATCAAATAATTACTAATATAACTCAAAAACACATAATCTGAAATAATCCCTTCTTCGCTTGGAAAGGTTAAAATATACCACAACCTCTTAAGTCTATTATTGAGTATAACCAAAATGTGAACACTACTCACTTTTATGCAGGAAGGGGTAGACCGGCTTGGCAGCAGGGTGGTGGACAGGACAGGTAAGCTGGTTGACCGTGGTTGGTGGGGGCAAGTCCGGCGGTACCTCGTCTTCAGGAGATCTCTCAGAACCATACCCCTGGTCCAGAGGAAGAGCTTCCCCTTTGGGCACCAGCGGCTGTAGCCTCAGCACCACGTTTTCCTTAACATTGTTGTTGTTCCTATACTCCGCTTCCTCGTTGGAGTCCAGATGGTTCGGTAGGGACCCGCAGAACTTGTAGCGGTCCCGCGGAGCCACGTCACCTCCGCACGGCGAGAAGAACTTGGAGACTCCATGGGACTTGCCGTTACAGAGGTTTCCGGAACTTTGACTCCGCCTCCCGGTGAGTCCCTTGCCCGAGTGCCGGCTCACGTTGGAGCCCATCTCCTCTAGGCGGCGCCGAGGCAGTGACCGGTTGCCATCGGGTCTCCGCAGCTGCAGGTGAACGATGTCTGGGGAGTGGCGGAGCTTTTCTTCGGCCTCGCGAGGTGATCGAACCACCGACCCGTTCACACCCACCAGTCGGTCACCTGCACAATACATACTGTGTCAACATGTTGAATAATAGTTAAAGACTTACCATACGGTAGGTCATAAAATAAAGTCTTAATTTACGTCATACAATAGGTTTCCACTAAGGGTAGATATCTAGGACAACCCATCAAAACTTGGGCCAACACTAATGTAAAAAAGTATTTATTCAACAAATTGATATGCCCCCTTAGGTCAAACACTAAATTATAAAATTAGGTTGTATTCATTTGGGTCAACATTTAGATCCTTAGGTAAACTATTTGCTGGGTTTGCCTTACTTAGACTACAAAAGTAGGCTAACTAGACTTTTTATGTAATCGATTGGGTTTATTGTTATTCAATATTTCAAACTAGGTTAAGTAGATGCAGTGGTTGAGAGTTTGAATATGGATATGCAGATACTTAGTAACGTGACATGGTTACTTTCTATGGGTACTTTTCCTGGTGACTGAGATCACAGTCTTTCGATGGTTTGCCAATTTGAATCGCTCTGAGATGGTAGAATTTCATGCAATTAACATTTTGGTTACTTCCCATAAGACACATATTATTTTTTAAATTTTAAATTAATTTGTTGTGCTTTTTTTCTTGATTTTAATTTAAAAAGGGATTTTGCACACCTACAGGAAACTATATTTCTAACAGTATGCGTAGATTTTCCCTGATATGCACACGAGCTGGGAAAAAATGTGTTCAAGAAACATGCTTGCCTATTAATACATAGATTACTTGTTTAAAAACGTAGTCTCAATTACCAAGGCATAAAATAAACGATAATACGTTCAATTAATCTCTAAACGTACATGTATCATAACCTATAGATACTATGTATATACTATGTGTCATACTATGTAGGATTCAAAGCTTTAATCACTTGCTTGCTATTACGGCAATAGCAAAGAGATATGTCATTGAGTGATGTGGTAGTTAAATTATAACTCACAATTACATTTATATAAATCACTTTCTTCGGCATGGTAAATAATCAATTATTAAAAATGTAGTGTACAAGTTAGTGAATTAATATTATTATTTGTGTTCTATATTCGAGAAACGTTTTCCCAAGGTTCTTTGTTAGATCAGTTATCTCTTTGTCACTGTTTGTACAGCAAAAGCGATCTTTCAGAATACGCTGCGAAGCGGATAATCGACCTGCCCAAATTAATGATTCAATGTCAGAAACTGCATCATCGGCCGTCAGCAAACAGAAACTCCACCACATCTCCACTACGATATGCGAGATGTGTTTTTAAACGATTTGGCCATGTGGTTGATGTAAGGTTGAACTAAATTGGTACGTTCAGGGAATTTTAGGACACATAAACTATGTTTAATATAATTTTATTATGAAAAGGGTTGCATGAATTGAACATACTTTCTTATAGATTTGGCTTACTTATGGATAAAATGGACTAAACATTTAGGTTAGTTAGACCGGTTTAGAGAAGACGTTTTGTTTTTTGATTAGTTTTGAAATTTAATCACCTTTAATTCAATTTCAATTTGATACAACACTCTATCTGAAAATTTATGCTTGTTCTCTGGAATTGATACACAACAGTTAAACGTTTTTTTTATTTATTAGTTTTGCAGTTTAACCACCTTTAATTAAATTTCAATTGTATACAACACTCTATCTGAAAATTAATTCTTTCTCTCTGGAGTTAGGACTAAAAAGTTAAACCATTGACTATTGGATACTGAAGGTTAAACGTAAAATTTACCCTAAAATAAGACCGTAACATTGTCAATAATACTCATTCATACGTCACTAACATTGAATCAAAACAGTCTTCCAATTTTTCCTAGGATGAGAAGGCTAATTCTAATCAAAGTTAATTTGAGTAGACAGGTAAGATTTGAACTACCTTAAATGTAAAAAAAACCAATACTACAAGAGTAAAAATTTTATACTTTAGGTACATATTTCCCAGAAACACAAGGGTAACTTCAAAGGAATGGTGTTGCATGGAAGTTTGTGAACGACTTCACACAGTCACACACACAGTACGAGTTGCACGGTTCAAATACCTTACTTCCTGCGGAACCACGCAGTGTGGGGAACGAAACAAGCACCAGACAACACAGATCTGGTGTTACGTTCTACCAGCTGATCTAAACACTGAATCAGCTGACATTGGTGTCATATTGGCCAGCTGGATATGCTGGACATGTCAGCAGACCAACACATTGTGTTTAACGAAACAAGCACCAGACAACACAGATCTGGTGTTACGTTCTACCAGCTGATCTAAACACTGAATCAGCTGACATTGGTGTCATATTGGCCAGCTGGATATGCTGGACTTGTCAGCTAGATCATAAACCAACGCAGTGTGGAGAGCGAATCAAGCATCAAAACACTATTGTATGTTTCTAACCAAAAAATTAGCGAATCAAACTTGCGGGCGAGTTCCATTTCAGAAACATGTTTGAAAGGATTTGACAGCTTCCCTTGATAATATATAGTATTTTCTCTTAAAGATCAACTAGAGATGAAACTGAACTTGAGAAAATACGACAGCACCACCGCTACACATGTATCAGGTGTTCAGTTATACGGTTCTGTCAATCAGCTGGTAACTTGCCCTTATATCAGCTGATATTAGTCATATTGTCATGTACTCATGTAGCTGGATAAACTAGACACATCTGATCCACATAACTATTTACCGTTTGCTGGACACAACCGCATACTACAGGTCCAGTTACAAACGGTTAGATAAAGGTTATATCCGTTAATTATCCACTGTTGCATCCTAAACAAGTATCTGGTTGAGTTAAAGAAAGCGATAAAGCCTTTATTTAATTGTAAGCTATTCAATAGCCTGTAAGGTATGGTGTATGATGTATCTAAAGAACCCATGCTTTGATATATAAATTTATTGCTTTCAATGCCATGTAAAAATGTTTAGTGGTGATTTCATTGTAGTTTTGCTGTATTGAATTTGCAAACAGTGTGTACAATTTATGAGTACCCTTATCTAAAATCGTGCTCTAAAATTATTTGATGGTTATTTAGGATACGTTTGTCGTTTTGGATATCAAAATCATGCATTGATATTAGGATTGTAGATTTTTAAATCCAACATATGAAAAATGAACCAACGTAATCTGTAAATTTAGAGTAGCACTTCATGTTAAAAAGAAATAATAATTTGAACATTAAAGAAGTTTTAAATCTAAAGATACATCATTTCGCCAATTACTTTTCATGAGATTTAATCACTCATGGAAATCAGGGGGAAAATCTAAATTTATGTTTGACGCTCAACAGATTTTACAGTTGTGTTGCATTCATCGCGCTGACAGTTAACTTAATCTTGTTTACAATTAATTGCCTTTTATCCTGCCAAAGGTCGGTCTGTCTTGCAATTCCTGGGGTTAATTGAATGCTCATTCTCTTTGGACAAACCTGAAAGGTCAGCTAGTTGAAAATAGAACTTTTCCAGACAAAGGTGAACAATGCTTGACTAACACGGCTTCTATGTGATCATCTTGCGTTACATAATTTGTTTGAAATAAGTAGTTTTGATTATAAAAAACACATACTTGTTCAAAAAGTTTTGATTCTAATGGTACCATCAGAGACAATAGTATTTTCAATATAATGTTGTGAGTTATGTTGTTTAACTAACAAGACAGGTCAGTAGTTATAGTGCTCGTTTGATTCACCGTTCTAGAGAAGAGTAGATTGTTTTATGGTTTCCAACTGGACCTAACTGTTATTTAACATTAGGCTTTAAATAAACGATCATGGCTAAAGTAACGTCTCGTAGGCGTTAACAAAGCTACAAGCTACACCGATTACCATACCCCATGTTGCATTCACTAGAAATTCATATTCAGTTTAGGTTCTCCTTCTCCATCCATATAAAACTATATAACAATTGATATTTGTAATCAATTGTTATTACTGTAAAATTTACTATGCAATATTAGTGGACAGCACAAATTATTTAGACATCCGACATGTTGTAACACACAATAAATCGTAGTTTTCAGGTTTAATAACAAAATTAGAAGTATACTTGCGGTATTTGTAAATTGTTACCGAACCAGAATTTGACGAGTATAGTTTTGGTTGGTGGCACTAGTTCGCACGGGAAGTAAAATTTAATTAACAGCTGATGAGAGAGAGTTTGACCAACTAGCTGCTCAAACATTGCTGCTTTGCGAACTAACCTCATCCCTTACTAAACTCTTCAAACAGCGGCCTAGCGGTTGAAAACCTTACCTGAGAATTAACGATAAATTAATACAAATCCTAATATTAAAAAAAATTAAATTATTTTCTTTATCACTCAACTTATGTGACAAAGGAAAAGCGCTTTCACGATTAGCGTAGGCCTAGTCAAATTACATCCATAGAAATAAAGGTTTTTAATCTGTTTCAGTGTATACGTTTGTTACAGGCCAAAGTACAACTGCTACACCAACTGGGCTGAAACTAAACTACTTTAAATAAACTAAACTTAACTGTACTGAAACTGTACATAGACTTATGCCAACATTATAGGCATTTCATCCTTAAAAGTCCCTTGAACTACGTCCAAAGTTTAGAGTTAAAGTGCAGTTGATATATATCCTTGTTAGCAAAAATCCCCATTAAATTCAGTTTAACCTACTTAAATTAACTTTGTTTTCATTTCGATAAAGTTATGGAAGTAGGTTGTGTTCAGAGACGAAAAATACAGTTCGAATTCTAAAAACATGTTTTTTTTCGCTAACGTACTCGACCTTAAAGTCAGTAAAATTATAATTACACCAAAAAGTACTATATAATGATAATATTAATTGAGGTTTCAGTTATAAACCAGGTCTAATTTGTATTGCTCAATAAATAAACAAACTATTAAACTGAAAAAAGTATCAAAATCCAAAAAAACAAGCATAGTATTGTACTCGTAAACTAAAAAAACCCCAGTAAAAAATCTGTACTAAAATTAGACGTTGTAAATTAATTCAGTTTAGTAAAAAAATTAATAAAAGGTTT